CACTCTTGTGGGATACTCTTGTCGGACACTCTTAAGGGACACTCTTGGGTCTTGAGCGACACTGTTGCGGGACACTCTTGTGGGACACTCTTGTGGGGCAGTCTTGTCGGACACTCTTGTGGGACACTCTTGTGGGACACTCTTGTAGAACACTCTTGTGGGGCAGTCTTGTCGGACACTCTTGTGGGACACTCTTGTGGGACACTCTTGTGGGACACTCTTGTGGGACACTCTTGTGGGACACTCTTGTAGGACACTCTTTTGGGACACTCTTGTGGGACACTCTTGTGCGACACTCTTGTGGGAAACTCTTGTGGGACACTCTTGTCGGACACTCTTGTGGGACACTCTTATAGGACACTCTTGTGGGACACTCTTGTGGGACACTCTTGTAGGACACTCTTGTGGGACACTCTTGTGGGTCACTCTTGTAGGAAACTCTTGTGGGACACTCTTGTGGGACACTCTGTGGGACACTCTCGTGGGACTCTCTTGTGGGACACTCTTGTAGGACAGTCTTGTAGGACACTCTTGTGGGACACTCTTGTGGGACACTCTTGTAGGACACTCTTGTGGGATACTCCTGTAGGACACTCTTAAGGGACACTCTTGTGAGACACTCTAGCGGGACACTGTTGGGACACTCTTGTGGGACTCTCTTCCAGCTCCCCAGATACTCCGCGTACTAAAGTTGCACCCGGACAAATCGCACTCTCGCCTGCATTTCGCGCACTCGACACGCACGATCTCCGCAGAGGGTTGCGTGCGCATGGGGCAAATCGCACTCTCGCCTGCATTTCGCGCACTCGACACGCACGATCTCCGCAGAGGGTTGCGCGCGCATGGGTCAAATCGCACTCTCGCCTGCATTTCGCACACTCGACACGCACGATCTCCGCAGAGGGTTGCATTGCGCGTCAAGTCTCCAAAACGAGCGTTTCGTACGAGACTTCCTCCAAAAGTCTAGCGGAAACACCCATCGGAGCACACACATCACGCAGCCCTGCCAAGCAGTTTCGCGATTCCAGCCCCTCCAAACAACATCCGCTCACGCGCCAATCCCAATGCGACAGCGACATTCACCTCTACCACAACTCACAACCTCACGATTCCCTGCGCCTGCCACGAATCTTTCCCCATCCAAATCTAAGTTGGGGCATTTGGGGTTGTTGTTTCTTTGATTTGGGA